AAATCTTGCATCACGAAGAGTGTTATTAATCCCAAATTTTGAAGAAAAGTTCTATTTTCAGACCCTACACAAATTTCAAAGCCCCAGAATCTTGGGAATCTATCTTTTTAGTAAATAATCTTTCAGTGAATACACATCTTCTCTATCCGATATCACTATCAATTTGCTCTAATTCTCATTTGTACCAAGTTCATTTTTCTTAAACATTTTTTTTTTAATTTAATCTCTTATTCTTCACAATTCACCTATTATATAACCTGTTCATCCAGATAGCATTTGGCCCAGTGAACTTTTCTCTGTCACTCAATAAATTCCAGGGCTTTGAAATCATAAGATGTATCGATCATAAAAAGTGGTAGAATTCGATTTATCAAAGTATCTCGAAAGATCAATAAATCGTTTTGAATACATTAAGTGACTCATAGAGTTGAATTTTTCCAATAGCTTAAGAAAACACTTTCTGTAATTTGGCTTTCATTTTTCCCACAAATAACCACTGAAAATTTACAGTTTACCACGTTTTAAAAAATGCGTACGATTCCGTTTTTGTTGAATATCAACAACCGGAAAATTGTTAAGATTTGAACCGGGAAAACCGGAAAAAACCGGCAATTTCAAAATGAAAAGTCACTGGCCACCCTGCTTGTGCAAGCATCGTGGAAGACTCCCTTTCCACCGCCAACCGCAGAACCGAGACGGCTAGGATGAACGGAAGCTGCGATAAGCCGGACTGCATGGGTTTGGGCGATTGGGAGCTTCCATCAGGCTCAGTTGCTTGGCGACCTCACCATCGACATCGTTGGTTATTAAATTAAGCAAGGATCTAGGTATCACCGTCACTCCATAGGAGCAGCATTGCTCAGTTTAGTGATTTTCATAGCACGTGAGTCTTCAAATTCACGAAACTGGATACCGTCCGGCAAAAATCAGTGAATTATTAATTATTTTTTTCCGTCATACGCAAGCTTGCATATTTACTGTCGGAAAATGCAAGTGAGAACGTTTCTTCTTCAGTGCTTTTACAAGCGTTCCTTAAAAAGTGTACCTGTACCAGTGCTGAGATTTGTCATTGACAGACTTTCGCGCGATATTGACAAAATTGTTTTTCACATAGTCACTGATAGACTTGATCCTCAAAAAAACCTTTATCAAAATCTCATTCATTTTTTCGTCAATGACAAAGATTCACCTGGTAACAAAAAGTGTGATTTCATGCATGCTGAGTCACATTTTTGTTATCCAAGCTGCTCGGGACATAGATGCTTGTTCACTTTAACCGCTCCATGTAATTGTTTTGCTCAAGTCATTTGATTTCATTTCAAATTTAACTAATATAAAATCTGCACATGTTCGTCCCTGATCAAGGGGTATTCACCTCTGCACATCTACATCTGTTCCAAATTATTTAGCTGTGCGGCACACTATGCCGAAGTAGGCCAAAGTGTGCCAATCAAATTGTCAATATCCCATGAGTTTGACATCCCTGAAGTTGAAATGACATTTGTGATTGTGTTAAAATTCTCATTTTCGGAGCAGAAGGTGAAAGAGAAACTGGAAGCTATCAAACCTATGTGGTGTTCAAGCAAACACGACCGTTCCACAAGATTCTGACTCAATGTCAATTTGAATGACTGATTCCTTGCAGGTGTGCAGAAATGAAGTCGTAACCTGATCGGTGGAGGTAAAAAATGCCACCAGCATCCATTGAAATCCTCTCCAACTAAAGTAAACAAAGAACTCGAACGGACGGAACCATGAACAAAGGTCATGTAAACGACACGTCGAGTACCTAGTGCGGACCCAGAGCCATCCATGTAAAAAGATAGCTCGTAATCTATGGATGAGCCGCATAGGAATCCGGCAATCTGTTTGGCACAATTAGTACTAATGCCTGCTTGTACATAATTTGTGGGCTCTTGCTAAACAGCAAATTTCTTAGAGTCGTCTAACGGAAACCACAGAGCGCACCGAAACTCACTCTGCTGCGAGTAAAATTTTCGAAATTTAGCAAGTAACGCATGTAGGTAGGTCACCAATCGCAACGGGGCCTCTTATGATGAACAATAGAAGAATGATGACAGAGATGCATCTGCAAAATGGCCGGATCGTAGATGACGGATGATGTCCAAATCGCTTAACAAACTGACTGCATTAATCCGTTCCAATGAATCCTATACTATTGCGCTAAGACAATCGTCGATCGGCTCAGATCTGATGGAATATTTGGGGTTAATACATATCGGCATCTCCCAGCCGTACTGGGACTTTTTTTTTTCAAAATTCTATGGCCATCCCTTCCCAGTCCTGTGGATTTCTCATGACAATGACCCCTATTCCGTGAGTCGTTTGACTCTCTATCACTAGTGAGGAGACAAATTTAACGTCATCACCCTAGTGACAGAGAGTAACACGTTTCATATCATAGGGGTGGAATGACAAGAAAGAATATCCGAGGAAAAACTCAGAGAACGATAAGAAAAATGACACCCGGAAGATCCTCAGAAAACCCGAGATTCGAACCTGGTCGAAAACCCTTACGATAAGCTTTTTTTTCTTTATTATTTATTCGGTGTTGAGTCATTAAGCCAAAGTACGCTAGGCTGAAGGACGTTAGGCCAAAGTACATTTAAAAGTTATTCTGCATAACAAGTTTGTAAATGTAACTCAACTCTTATCTAATATCCTGCCCTCTTTCGTTGTACGTTGTACGTGTTGCTCACCGTGTCAGGAATATATCCACCTGTCCGTGTGAGATTGGTTAAACTTTGAACAGTGATTGTATCGTTTCTTGATTTAAGCCAACTTTTTATCGAATTTCGTAAAAAAAATCACTGCAATTAAAAGCTTTATTTCCAAGGCCTGTTTATAATAAAGAGTAGAACCTGCTCTCCGAAACTTTTCTGGAAGTCTGCTTGACAACCGTTGAAAACAAACTTCTTCAAAATTTGCTCTGCAGCCGGTACAGTTTAGCCTGTTGCACCAAATGCAAACTCAAGGATTTCGCCGACCACATTCTGAACTAAACCGTCGTATTGGACAACCAGATCTTGTAGGTAGCTTGGAGGCGAACCAGCCCCAGGCTGAAAGCCTCTCTAATAAAGATAAATCAATCAATCAATCTTGTAGGGATTTGACCAACTCTCGTTGGAGGTAACCCGTTACGGCCGTCTTGACTGCCATATCGACAACACTCTATCGCTAAACTATGATGTCGAGGAAAAGTAAATTGAAACTGTTCTGGATTCTGGGGGTTTTGCTGCGAATCGGATGAGATGAACTGAGTTTTGTTAGTTTGAATAGGTTCATGATGCAGAAAATACTTTCAGTACTTTTCGAAATGTTGCATGGCATGAACTTATTGGGCTTTACATTGGAGTAAACGATGTATGCATCCTTAGCAACGATTGGCAAACCGTCGACAGTGATGCCGTTTTATACTATATTTGTTGTGACCTACTTGTCAACGAGTGCCCTAACGTGCCGAACAGTGTGCCATGCAGAGTTGATTACCCCTTGTCCCTGACAGCCTTGTCCCTGACAGCCTTGCCCCTGACAGCCTTGCCCCTGACAGCCTTATAACTGACAATTGACATGGTTTGCCTTGACGATGACGGTTAACTCAAATGAGTGAAAGCATAATTTTGAATATCGCCGTGTATTGTCGAGATTTTGCAGCACTGACCTGTACACATGCAGCCGTTCACATCGAATGATGGTTATGAAAAAAATTTCATTCATGAGGCGACCAATATAAAATCATACCGTTTCTATCTCGTGGAAACTGCAATTCTATTTTTTGCTTAGTTTGTAATATTGTCAATCCGCATTTATAGACGCAGATTTCTCATGATGTTTTTGCAGTGCAATTTTGCTCATATAAGCGCATAGTAATCTGCATGGGCGTCCAAAAACTCCCGTATGCTTTATCATGCGTTACTTAGATTATGCAGATCGAAATTTCAATGCCCACTTAGTTTTGATTAGAAAAAATAGTGGTCAGAGCTAATTAATCATGGAGTAGCCATGAGTAACCACCATGACAGGCGTGTATTTTTGTAATGACTAATCTCATGACAAATGACTCATCTAACCTACCGATCCTTTCGACTCAATCGCATTTGGGTTTATGGCCAATTTAAATGTATATCGCGATATATCGCGGGAAATTCCAGGAAAAAATGTTAAAGATGAACTAGCCTTCGACTAAAAATCTCTTAAATAAAGAATTAAAAAAAAAGGAAAAAATGCAAATCGGCATTTGCTGGCGCAAACTAGAAAAAAACTTATGCAGTTTGACAGAAGTTTCAATTTCGGTCAATTTACTCATTTGACCATACCGTTCTGACCTAATCGTACGTGTGACTACGCGTGCGCTATAAATCGCAGAAATTTACATTTTTTTTTTTCTAACGATGACACGGTGCCTTCTTCTGTTGATAGAAATATCTAATGTAACAATAGAATAATGTATTTTTAATTCAGGAAAACACGAACAAGAAAAGGTACCCCAACTCAAGCCAACTCTGCAATCAAACAGAGAGCAAAAAAAAACGTAAACAATTCCCGCACGCTTCGATGATAATCCTTCATTCGCCAGTCATCCGTCGGTCGTCGTGATTCATGCGGAATAATGAAATAAACGAAAAGAAAGGGAGCTTCACACGATCGATTCCATTATTCAAGTTCCGCCTATTTTCATTCATATATTACCTATCCAACCAGCCAGCCGAATGGAACTGGTCGTCCTTCAAATTCTGCAAAACAAAACATATCACTCACTACCTACGGAAGGCAGTATGAAAGGCTGACGCGATTCATTGGTTGCGCATGTTTGAGGGGATTAAAAAAATGATTTTCCTATGCCGAAACCCGGGATTGAACCGGGGACATTTAGATCTTCAGTCTAACGCTCTCCCAACTGAGCTATTTCGGCTTGATGAAGTTGAAGGCAAATAAAACGCAACATATAAAATTTCTTATAAGATATATAGATCTTTTTTATTTAAATTAAATAATAAATTAACAACGCCTTCAAGATTCCAGTGAGACGTCGCGTCGTTCGTCATGTAGAGGAGATTAGAGATAAGAACATACACGGTTGATTGGCGGCCGAAGCGTGGTATCGTCGTATTTTAGAGTTGAGTTCCGGCTGCATGGTGAATACATTGATCGATCTTGCTCTGATAGACCACTGGGACTGGATTCTTGCATCCGTACCCTCCCAGCTTGTGGATAGCGGCGTGGTCCAAACAGTCAATGATTCCATCTCCATTGCAGTCCTATAGGAATGGGTAATGGAAAATGAGATTAATCAAATGGAATATCCCACACAACGTTAAGCTTTTAAGAGGTTCATTGAACTACAAATGGCAGCTGAAACTATCCATTGGTATTACAAGCTGCCACGGAATGACTCAAAAACTGGTTCGGGAACGAGACCTTTGTGTTTGTGTTGCGCTCGGTCAAGGGCGATCATATACTATATTTAATGTGAGCAGGAGAAGCTATAAAATAGCATTCCTACGTATCTGCTTTCTTACCTGTCCGAACTTCCTCATGTACCCTTGGACGGTGCTAGCTGCACACTGGGGATCGTTGGCACAGTTTCCATATGCTGTGGAAGAGAAATTGAACATTTCATGAGCTACATCTTAAGCAGTAGTGAGCCTACGTACTCCGTGACATTTACTTCCATACTGTCCAAGAAGTACAGAATTTAATTACTCTCATCCGATAAACCTATAATTGTCATCGACCGCGGTGCCTTGACCAAAAAGGATAATATTGTTTGCGTTCAGATTTATATCCAACGAAAGAGTACTTAGCACATTGATAATTATGGCCCATTTCGAGCCGATAGTTAACGTTCCATAAGCTACATTTATCATGCCGCTTATACGGCCGATGGCATTTATGACGAGGCATAAACCATTTTATCCCGTTCGGAAGGTTCCACCTATCTACTCATGTTCGAGCTTATTTATGTGCCCTATAATTACAATCAGCAGCAGCTGCTGATGCTGCGGCTTTCCTGCGTTGGTGCACGTAAACACTTACCACCCTGTGATTCAGGAACATCACCCTGCAGAACTGGTTTTCCCGCATCGGACCAGTACGCCCACGTGATCCGGAACATTCCACACACCTCGCCGGTACAACGCACCGTCGGGTCGCATCCGCTGGACGCGTCGCAGATGCATCGCAGACACACCTCGGTCACCGGGTTCTCCACTGTGGATGAGACGAATGAAATTTAATCAGTTTCCATTCTCGGAGCTGTCTATTTAATTCAAACGATATGCACACAACTAACAGTAAAGACGTGGGAAAGATGCTTATCACGTGACCGCTCCTTTGATTCAATGTACCACCATTATTAAACGCTATTAGATAAACATACCGGTCAGCTAGCGCGAGAAACAACTAATAACTACTTGAAGTTGAAAACTTTGCAGAAAGTGAATTTAGAACGTTCAAGTTAAGGTTCAAGTCATAACTTTCCGTTGACACTGACTCCACATTCTACCTGACTCTAACTTTTACTAATAGGGCAAATTAGCGTTCAGTGGACCCCTTTCGATTAGTGGCTAATTACGGATTAATGCAGGTTATAGAAATATTGGATAAGTAAACGGGAAACACCTTTTCCAACTCAGCTGCATCGGATTCATTCAAATATTGCAAGTATCTGCTTTTGTAAACAAAGATTTAAACGCTAATACAGTGAATTCTCTACAATTATATATTCAAGGGACCAGCAAATTATAAAATTATCGAGATATAGAATACAGTAGCCATGAAATTAATTTTTACTATGGTTCTATAACTCTATATCGAGTTAGTGGACATCTAGTTGTGGAGAGTTGACTGTATGTCGAAACTCCTAGCACACCCACTCAAACCATCTTGTTGGGGAATCAGACCCCTTTCTGATGGTGGTTAGGGTTGTCATTTCTCGCGTAACATTTAGAAAGGGCCTATCATTTTTTGGAAACAAAACTGTATAGGCCCTTTCCGCTCAAACCGAAGTACCAGAAAGAATCCGACTTTTTTTCTTTTAAAACCGGATTTTCGGTAACATTCTTGAATAATTCGAAACTTCTTTAGTGCTTTCACATTTTTTGACGTAGGTCTACGTCTGTGATTTCTATATGGGGGTACACTTTGTGAAAACCGAAAGTGGAACATGTAACCAAATTATGAAAGATTTTGAACGTTAATAACTCAGTTTCCCCTGGACCAATTTCAATAGTTTTATCACCAATCGACCAGAAATATTTCTACGCATCGATAGCAATGTTCAATTTTTAACAAGAATTTATTGAAAACGTGGTAAATGTCAAGCATTTTCCAAAAGCGTCGAATTAACTATCAAATCCACCAATTACCTACATGTATATGCTGCTCCCCAGCACAGTCGTCAGAGAGTCGTTAGTAGACCAAAGAAGTCGAAGTGGCATTTGCCTCGGATCTTCGAGGGTGTGCGAATAGAGAGGATGCAATTGCGTTACATTTTGCACACTTATCGCCATCAGTCTTGTAAGCGGTCACGGTAGTCGACACATTTTCTGTGATAATTGACTGCCTTTGCCTCCGACACTTGCAACACAAGCTATCATAGTACAGTACCAAACTAAAATGTCGTATGACAGGCTCTGTCATACGACACTGTCGCCGAAGACCGTCACGAATGTATGTATTTTAGTTTTTCTCATAATAAGAGCTGCTGATGGTGTGATTGTGTGAATTCTGAAAATAACAAGCAATGATGTTCTAGTAATAATATTTCTGTTCAGAAATGGTTTAATTTACACCAAATTGAGGAATTACAACGAAATCACACATGTCATATGATAGCTATTTTGATAATTTTCTTTTAGCTCGAATGTTATTCTACCGCTCGTGTTGTGTGAGAGAGACGACGGTAAAGCATGAGTGTTCGAATACAAACAGACTGTCGCGCACGACAACGAAGCGAGTGTAGTAAAAAACGTCAACTGTTTCAACCTCTGAATCGCCATATTCAGAACCACACGCCCCAACGACCACACAAAATGCTCTCCTGAGTTGTAATCTTGTAACCAAACATGGAAGCAGGTGTGCAAGTGATTTTGATCTATTCTCTTCATAAACTTTCTGTTTCGTTAATAACTCGACGGCAAACACATTCATTGATACGTTTGTTGTTCTGGATGCTAGAAGAGCATAGCAAAAATAGTGCGAAATAGGTTAGTGAAGCCATGGTCATCAAAAGAGGAAATCGATGAAGAGAATTGGCTTTCACCCCACTGCTTCTAATCCCCTTAATTCAGTCGTCGTCATAGCAATGAAAACTAACATCGCACCGGTTTTGGTTCTTGGGTTACACTTGCTGGTTGCAATTCTGCTGTTTCAAATTTTTTAAGGACCACAAAAAAAATTAAATTACACTATTTTTTAGCGATGCCTAAAAGTTCAATGATTAGATTACGGATAAATCGTGGAGATTTTTCTAGCTGTTATCGATTTAAATATTTATCGAATTTACAATTATTCGAGCGCGTAATCGGCATACCTTCTTATTTCTACTCGTTTGATTTAGAGCAGTAGAGAAAATAATTAAAAGTACAAATTTATCTGCACAGGCATAGAGAAGAACGATGACGTGAAACAGGATCATAATTCGCCGAAAAAAGAGTTAAGCGCCTTTCTGCTAAAGGCTAAGAGTTACCACCTTGTTGAAAGAAGGAGTTTAACGAGAAAAACTAAAAAGGGGAGGAGTTTTAGCTGGGTGGACAATGATATTCTGCGGCCTTCCAACCTGTCGCAGACACCAGTTCAACCCCTGTCCAGCAGCAGACGGGCCGAGACTCTTGCGAGTGCCCAATCATTGAACCGAACAATATGAGATTTGCTGATCCAGCTGCCTATGCGTCATTATCATTTTCCAAACGGTTTAAGCCTGTACCTACCATCGGCTTTTTTCAGGGTCACCAAGATTTTCCAAAAGAGTTAAATTTCTGAACATGTTCCAAGTAGAATTCATATCAAAAGATTCTTTACGGGGCAATCATAGTCATAAAGGGTATACACAGCGAGAATCCCGCTTAAATTCCTATTCCTACACAAAACACAATTAAATGCAATTAACAAATTACATTTATTATATAAGACCACGTAGTCCTACGCCACCATTGCGTACAACCCCATAGGGCTGTCCCTTATAGTTTTTTTTTTTAAATTAATTGAACATCAGCATTGACGGGCTCTGATCTTTCTGGTTTTATTTTTTTAATTTTTAGAAGCTCTCAGAATTTTCTAACGTTTATACAACTTCCTTGAAATTAATTTTTCTGACCTGATGTTCTCAGCGCTTCTAACTAGATAGTAAAAAAGTTTTCCCAAATATTTCTGATGTTTCCTTAAGTTCCCTGGAGTTCTCTGGTCTTTCCTGAAATTCCCGGGATCTCAAATTTTAACAGAAGTTAATGAAACCGTCGTATCGGAACTTGTCCTTGAAGATCTTTAAACTTACCCAACAGTCTGGATTGTTCTGATGTTTCAGAGCCTCTTAAAAGTATCTGTAGTTTCCCTGAAGCTATTGGAACCGCAATCAAATTCTCACAGGACAGAATAACCTTTCTAGCAAAGCCAGAAGAAGCTTGCAGGGGGCGAAATCGGAAAATAATTTACGGGGTAAGGTGGGAAAAAATCCACGGGAAAGTTGCTACGATGTAGTTAGTTTTACATGTATTTTGTTACCGGAACCTAACTGGAGTATGTCATCATTAGCATTTAAGCAAATAAATGCAGCAACCCTCGCTCCGCCAACCGACAATTCAAAACGCGCAAGCGACGATGCGAAGCAGCCCGGCGAACAACGACGTGCGAAAGGCACGCACACAGCGATACCGCCCGGTAGGAAAAATTTCAGCAGCAGCTCGCACGATTCCGGTTTCATTGGCCATTGCAGTTTTCGGAAAGTTGGTTCGGCGTCACCGACCGTAGTGAAGAACTAATCGAAGCTCACGTTTCTTGTTCTTTGCCTCGGCATGGGCAGTGGCCGAATATCGGCATCGTTATCTGGAGTGTTGGGATCTGGCCAGAAAATCGGCAAACGAGGCGGTGATTTGGAGTTAAATTTCCCCGTGCATTTCTACACGGATTTGTTAAATTTCCCCGTAACGCGGTGGTGGACAGTGAAAAAACCTCTGGAGTCCCGGTGTACCGGTGGAGTTTGTGCCACGAAAGAGATTGCCTTCGCAATAAGCGGCAACTCGTTGGTCGGCTACTACGCTACTACGCATGACTGGACGAGGAAGTCGTTTTTCCATTGCAAGCCGGCAACCAATTAGTCACCGGTAGGGTAACCATCAGCTATAAACGCCATCAGGGCGGGCAGCACCGGTCGGAGGCTGGGTTCCCGAGTATCTGCTGGCACAAGGCAGAACGCTGACGTTACTCAACAACGTTGGCCAACAACAAACGTGCGGCGAGAAGTTGCCTTGCTGTTGCAGTGGAACTGGCAACTCGTTAATCAGAACCGGCACGACAAACGATATCAGGGCAGGCGGTACCGATGGAAACCATTTGGCCGAGAGCAAACGAGCCGTTGGAAGTAGTTTTGCCATTGCAGATGCGGATACGAGAGCAACCGGCAACCCGTTAATCATAACCAGCACGATAAACGCCGTTAGGGCAGGCGATACCGATCGGAAGCGTGATCCCGAGGATTCGTTGGCGCGCTTCAGAACGCCCCCGCTATTCAGTGGCCAACCGATAGCAAGCTGGAAGCAAGTCCACTCAACCAGGACCGATATCAGGAGGAAACGACCGCACGACGGGTAATTTACTTTGTACCCTTTTTGGTTGACTGATGGCAACGGTTGTTACCCTTCAGAGTCGTTTTTTTGGTTTCTCGTTCAAGTTTTTTGCTTCATGCACTTCCCTCTGCAAAGCACCAGCACCGTTCAAGGAGTGAGCGGCTTTGGGCGGACACGAACGGTCTCCATGCGTGTGGAACAGCGTTCAGCGAAACGCAGTCAAAGCTCGAGAGCTTGGAGGACACCACCTAACGCGCTGCGAACAGCCTGCATTGGTCGCAATTGGTGGTGTCGGCGAGCGAGTAGGTAGTGCGTAGGAGGTGCGCTGACGAGCGCAGAGCGTACAAACGGGAAGAGCTCGTGAAGAAGTCGGCAGTCCGATAGGTCACGTCCACGGTACCGTGAGTAATAAAGTTAAGCTAGACAGAT